GCAGCCGAAGTAGTCGAGGTAGTCTGAGTAGTAGTAGTAGTAGTAGTAGTAGTAGTAGTAGTAGTAGTAGTAGTAGCAGTCGTAGTAGTAGTAGTAGTAGTAGTAGTAGTAGTAGTAGTAGTAGTAGTAGCAGTAGTAGCACTAGTAGTAGTAGTCGTAGTAGTCGTAGTAGTCGTAGTAGTAGTAGACTAGTAGTATCATCCATCGTAGTAGCAGTGGTCGTTGTAGTAGTAGTAATCGCCGTAGTCGTGGTCGTAGTCGCAGTCGTAGTCGTAGTCGTAGTCGTAAGCGTAATCGTAATCGTAGCCGTAGTCGTAGTAGTCCTAATAGTAGTAGCAGTAGTAGTAGTAGTCGTGGTAGTAATAGTCGTAGTAGTAGTAGTAGCAGTAGTAGTAGTAGTAGCAGTAACAGTGGTAGCAGTAGCAGTTGTAGTTGAGTAGTAGTAGTAGTAGCAGTAGTAGTAGTAGTAGTAGTAGTAGTGGTAGTAGTAGTAGTAGTAGTAGTAGTAGTCGTGGTAGTAGTAGTAGTAGTAGTAGTAGTAGTAGTCGTAGTAGTAGTAGTAGTCGTAGTAGTAGTAGTAGTAGTAGTAGTAGTAGTAGGGGTCGTCCTATCAGTAGTAGTAGTAGTAGTAGTAGTAGTAATAATACGACTAGTAGTAGCAGAAGTAGTGGTAGTGGTAGTGGTAGTGGTAGTACGTGTAGTGGTAGTAGTAGTAGTAGTAGTAGTAGTAGTAGTAGTAGTCGCAGTAGTAGTAAGTATAGTAGTAGTAGTAGTAGTCAAGAAGTAGTAGTAAGTAGTATAGTAGTAGTAGTAGTAGTAGTAGTACAGTAGTAGTATAGTAGTAAGTAGTAGTAGTAGTAGTAGTAAAGTAGTAATAGGTCGTCGTCGTAAATAGTAGTAGTAGTAAGTAGTAGTAGTATGTAGTAAGTAGTAGTAGTATTAGTAGTAGCCATAGCAGTAGCAGTAGCAGTAAGTAGTAGTAGTAGTAGTAGTAGTGGTTAGCGGTAGTAGTGCAAGCAGTAGTAGTAGTAGTAGTAGGTATTAGTAGTAGTCGTAGTCGTAAATATCGTAGTCTAGTCGTAGTCGTATTCGTAGTCGTAGTCGTAGTCTAGTCGTCTAGTAGTAAAAGTAAGTAAGTAGTAGTAGTAAGTATTAGTAGAGTTGTAGTTAGTGTAGTAGTGTAGTAATGTAGTAGTGGTAGTATAGTTTGTTCGTATAGTAGTAGTAGTAGAGTAGTGTTCAGTATAGTAAGTAGTAAAGGAGTGTAGTATTAGTATAGTAGTGGTAGTAGTAGTAGTAGTAGTAGTAGTAGTAGTAGTGGTAGTGGTAGTGGTAGTGGTAGTGGTAGTAGTAGTAGTAGTAGTAGTAGTAGTCGTCGTCTCCTCCTGTCGCCTCCTCCCCTTTTCCTCCTGTCGCGTTCTCCCCTTCTCCTCCTGTCGCCTCCTCCACTTGTCCTTCCTCCTCCTGTCGCCTCCTCCCGTTCTCTTCCCCCCTCCTGGCTTGGTCGCATCCAGGTTCCTTTTCCTTTTCACGCGCAGCTTGACAATGAGCGCAGGCTTTGCTATTTATCGGCAGCCGTGGGCGTTTACGTTCAGGCGCGGTGCGATTGATGTTCATCCTCCCGCTGTGTCGACATTTGCTCGCTTGGAGTAGGGCTCCAAGAGCATGCAATGACCTTCACGATCCGCGTCACCCGAGTCCGGGGCCATTGCAGGTTTTTGCTCTCACGGCCTCACGGCCCTGTGGTCTTCTTCGTTCGGATCGCCTCGTTGAGGATCAGCGGATTCCTCCTTCTCCTCCATTTCTTTGGCGTGGAAACAGTAGTACTAGTAGTAGTAGTAGTAGTAGTAGTAGTAGTAGTAGTAGTAGTAGTAGTAGTAGTCGTAGTCGTAGTCGTAGTAGTAGTAGTAGTAGTAGTAGTAGTAGTAGTAGTAGTAGTAGTAGTAGTAGAAGTAGAAGTTAGTTTGTAGTATTTAGTAAGTAGAAGTAGTGTGTTAGTAGTAGTAGTAAGTAGGGCGTAGTCGTTGTCGTAGTCGTTAGCCGTATTTCGTAGTCGTAGGTCGTAGCTAGTGTTCCTTGTCTAGTCGTTAGGTCGTAAGCCGTAGTAGTAGTGCAAGTAGTAGTGAGGTCCGTTAGTAGTAGAATTAGTAGTTGTAGCAGTAGTAGTTAGTTAGTAGTAGTTGTAGTTGTAGTAGTAGTCGTAGTCCGTTAGTAGTTTAGCGTAGTCGGTAGTCGTGAGTGTAGTAGTGGTATGCGTATTAGTTTTAGTAGTAGTAGTAGTAGTAGTAGTGTGTAGTTTTAGTAGTAGTATAGCAGTTGTAGAGTAGTCGCAGTCGTAGTCCTAGTCGTCGTCGTTGTCGTTAGTGTAGCAGCAGCGTAGTAGTAGCAGTTTAGTTAGCAGCAGTAGTCGTGCTAGTAGTAAAGGTTAGCAGCATCAGCAGCTGCAGGCTAAAGAATAGTTAGGTGCAGAAGCAAGCGTAGTAGTAGTCGTAGTAGTAGTTGGTAGAGTAGTAGGTTATGTAGTAGTAGTTAGTAGTAGTAGTAATAGTCGTCGTCGTCGTCGTAATAGTAGTCGTAGTAGTAGTAGTAGTAGTAGTAGTAGTAGTAGTAGTAGTAGCAGCAGTAGCAGTAGCAGTAGCAGTAGTAGTAGTAGTAGTGGTAGTAGTGGTAGCGGTAGTAGTGCTAGCAGTAGTAGTAGTCGTAGTCGTAGTCGTAGTCGTAGTCGTAGTCGTAGTCGTAGTCGTAGTAGTCGTAGTCGTAGTCGTAGTCGTTGTCGTAGTCGTAGTCGTAGTCGTAGTCGTAGTCGTAGTCGTAGTAGTGTAGTAGTCGTAGTGTAGTTAGTGTAGTAGTAGTCGTAGTAGTAGTAGTAGTAGTAGTAGTAGTAGTAGTAGTAGTAGTAGTAGTAGTAGTAGTAGTAGTAGTAGTAGTAGTAGTAGTAGTAGTAGTAGTAGTAGTAGTAGTAGTAGTAGTAGTAGTAGTAGTAGTAGTAGTAGTAGTAGTAGTAGTAGTAGTAGTAGTAGTAGTAGTAGTAGTAGTAGTAGTAGTAGTAGTGAGAGTAGTAGGAGGAGGAGGAGGAAGAGGACGAACCCTCTTGGGGTAATTTCGGAGGCCCCGGCAAACACATTCGTGTGGCGTCAACTCGGCCCCCCCACTCTGAGGCCGAACGCTTGCTTCTTGGAAGTTCGCGGGGGCCTCGTGGGCGCTCTTCGGGCCGTCTCGGGGGCCTCCTGGGCTCCTCTTGGAGTTCACTTGGCCCGTTGAGCCGCCCTGGGTTTTCAGAGATCCATCGGAAGCGAAAAGGCGAGAAGGCAAACAACTATTGGGTGTTCGACGGGTTTGGGCATCTTGGGGAGTTGTTTCGGGGACTCGTTTCTATGGCCACTTTGACCCGTCTTGCAGCGGTCTTGGGGCCTATTGGGGCACGGTGGAAGGCTTCTTAAGCGATCATGTGCGATCGTCAGCCACCTAGAAACCCTACACTAGAGTTCTATTGTAGCCATACTGGGCCCTAAAGGGGTGCCTGTCACTTCTCTTCCCCCCCGTTCTGATCGGGGGAGAAGAATAGCCGAAGCAGGGCGTGTTCAAACTCGTTTTACCACTTTCGCCTAGAAGGCTGGTGGGATATCAGGTTGTCGTTAACGCTGCTGTGTCTCATCTTTTTCGGGGTGTGACTGGATGGGAAGGGGGGAGAGGGTAGGCGAGGGAAGAAGTTGATGGGACTAGCGGGTTTGGACTGATGGGGGGAGTTTTGCAAAGGGAACTTGTGGGAGGGGAAGGAGGTGGGTATGGGTCACGCGTGTGCAGGAATGTGCGCGACAGGTTGAGTTGTTGCGATGTCCCTGGTCTCGCTATGGTCGGTTGTGTATGCTCTGGCTTCACCTCTTCAGAACAAACAATCAGAGGAGGGACGCGTCGACGTGTCGACCAGCCGATTGAGTGCTCAAGCGGCCCGCAGGCGCAAGCCATGAGGAAGGCAAGCGCTTTCGGAAACTCAGTTGTGTTTGTGGAGCCCTATGCGCTTGGAACCCGACGCACGTGGACTGTCATGCGTGTGGGACCCCAATGCGACAGGAATAGGTGGATTTGAGCAGGCGCTGGGTAGTTTTTGGGGCCATCACCTGGTTGGGAAGCAGCAACATCGCAGTCCTTACCACCAGCATCGACACCATGGTCGCATCATCAGCGCATGTGCCGCACCACTAGCAATTTCGACGTCATCAGCGTCGATTCGATTTCAACACCAGAGTCGACACCAGTGTTGAAACCACCACGATGGATCGCCATCATTTCGCCGTTCCAGTTCGGGGCTGATCATCCCAGCGCGCTGGGCGTGACAAGGGCACGTGTAGGCAGGTGTATCCGCTGCGTCCGCCTAGCCCCACCACATACATCACGTGCTGGGAAGTATTATGTTCTATCCAGGCATGGCCCGACCTGTTCCTGAGCGGGATCTGGCGCAAGTGGCGCAAGTGGCCTCCCGCAAGATTTTTGGTGAAGTGTGCTGATTCCGAGTGCGCTTCCGAGTTCTTGCCCTGCCAGCTCGGGTGGGCGGCGTACTCGTTGGTATGGTAAGGTGTACGTCAGACGCGAGACGCCAGCAGCCTTGCCCCAAGCCACCACAGTCGGTAAGTCTCTGAGCTGTCCATAGCATGTGTTGCGGTCGGCCACCTGCGCCAACTGACAGAAGGATGGACGGGACATCGGGCTCGGCGCAGAGTAGTTTCCACCACGAGCGGCGAACATATCCGTGTCCGCACTCTTGCGGTCGGGATTCTGGGGCGCGATCCAGTAGATTTGCGGTCGCACGGTTGAGTCCCGCTCAGGGCAGCCGCTATAAGAGTGCTCCGTATCCGAGGGGTCGCAGTCCAGGGGCTCGGCCCGCGTGGCCGCGGATACGAGTAGAATACGGATGTTTTTCGCCCATGCCTTCAGTGCCCTGCATCCCCCAGTTCGCTCGATCTCCGCACGCCCTGACCTCGCCCTGCGCCCCCTGTACCCAGACCTCGTCCCCGAGCTCCGCGATCCGGAGATGGCGGAGTTCGTGTTCGCGAAGGCACGCGATCCGACTCGCAGTGGGCGAGGGGTTGCGGTGCCAGGCAGGGGTGTGAGACGAGCCTCGTTCGGAGGAGGCGGTTGAAGAGAGGGAGGAGGGAGGCCAGTCAAGACGGTGAGGGAGCGGAGAGACTGGAGGAAATTGAGGAGGAGGAGGAGGCAACGGTTGGAGCTCGCTCGCTCGCTCTCTCCCAATCGGTTCAACTCCCAATCTTATTCTTCGGGAACTTGGGGGGGAATCGTCTGATTGCGATCGACCCCTCTGCTTTGCACAGCTCGAAAAACGAGCACCGTGCGACCCCACCAGGGGTCGGCAGATGACCTACGCTGCGGTCGCTGCACGGGAGGCTGGCCAGGGCCGTTTCAGGCCTTAGGGCTCAATTGGACCGAGCTATCAGAAACTGGAGAATGCGACGTCAGCCCCCAGGAGCTGAAAGGCAATTTTTAGCCGAGCAGCGGGTGAGGAGCCATCCACTAGAAGCTGGGGGACGTGCACGGCTAAGCCGGTCACTCCCTGGGCTCGTCATGGACGTCCTTTACCCGCCAGAAAGATATCATTACTTGCTACTTGCGCTTTGGCATAATCTTGCGTGCGAGGTTGCCACGCGGTGCCTTGCTCACCGTGGTCTTACCTCCTGCATGCCTCACAAGCTCACCGATCAGTGCCTCAACCTGAATCACGAGGCCCTTCGTTTGCATCATAACCGTCGGGAATTCGAGTGGTGTCGTCACGTGCAGCGGATGGTTGGCGTCTTTGATGGCGGCCAACATCGCCTTGCGATCTTCGTCGTTGTCTGGAACCAGTACCTGCCCTAGGAACTTGAACAAGAATCTGCTCTTCTGAGGCTGCCCTGGTTCGTCGTATGTGGGAAATACTGCTGCCTCTTTAATCCACAGCTCTGCTTGATCTGGTCCTGCGTGTTTGATGGGATCTGCGAGCCAAGACATCCCGAAACTAATCTTCAAGCGACGCTCCGAACTCTCCCTGAAGGGCCAAAACGAGCAGAATGGAGTAGGCTGCTTGAGATGCTGGAGAGCCTAAGTCCCTCTTGGGGTCCTTCTTCCTCTGCTTCACAAACTCCTGATACGATTTGTTGCAACTGACTACAATACGGTGCTTCCTGTCGAGGATCTCTGTGCTCACCGACTCGTGCTCGAGCAGGCGCACCCTGGCCTCGAGCTGCACGATCAGGGCCCTCATGAGTCCGATCATGTCCTCGTCCTCTTCCATGTCTACTGCTTCCACGTCTGCTGCTCGAGGCCTCTTCTCCTTGGCCCCTGCGACCGCGAAGCTCTTCGACCTCTCCCTGACGAGCCAACCCTTGTCTGCTGGGGGACCGTCTGTGGATGCTGCTGCCGCCGCTGCCGCCATGCTTCGGGCCCGTCAAGTGAGGTGTCCACCCTGGTCTGTGAGTCTTCGACCACGAGCAGTCAGACAACGGTAACCGATTGCGCGTATTGGAGACAAACTGCCCGCGCGCTTCTCTGATGTAGAAGTTCGGTTCCAGGAGAGGCTTCAGATGCGTTCTTGCGTGCTTGAGCCAGGACTTCAATACGTCGAACTCCTCAGAAAAGATCGGGCAGGTCATGTCGCTCGGCGCTTCAATCTTGCTCTCGAATCGTCTTCGGTTTGCTGGACAGTACTGTCGTCGTAAACTCGCTGCGACGTCTTGTTTGGCGACGTATGTATCTCGAAATGCACTATGGCATAATATGCAGCTGTTCGTAATAGCCATGGTCCTTCCGATGTTGAGCTTCCCGTGGGTACCCCCGATGGTGTTGGCGATGTGTTCGGTGAGAGCATGTTTGGTAGGCCATCTCGTGTTGCATGTGCTCCCATCCTCCAGCTGCTCCTGACACATGTACTCTCCTCCTCGATCCTCCTGTGGTAAAGGCTCGCTCTCGATTCGAGACGTGAGGAACTTGGCACGAAGTTCATCGCAATCGATTCTTTCGAAGTCGCCCGTGTCAACGAAGAGAATATGACGAAGAGACCCATTCCCCATCTCCCACATGCTTTCTCCTGCCTCCAGGGATCGCAGTGCCAACATGTCTTGTTCAAGCTGGCGCGCCCACGGATGTGCGTGAGCGTGTATAGCTCCGCTCTCGTCAAACACTGCACCATCCACCTGCGACCGTCCGAAGCAAGTCGCCAAACATTGACTGTTGTTGTCACGATCCTGCACCAATCCCTGGAGCCATTTGAGTCTACGAATTCGAAGCTCGAGATGGAGAGGGGCGACTTTGAACTTCCCAAGGATTTCGTGTGCATTCTCGGTCACAACATAGGAGGAGGAGGAGGAGGAGGAAGGAGAAGACGGATGATATGGAAACACATTGATAATCGGAAGGAGGAGAACGAGGGCGGCGGAGAGGAGGAGGAGGAGGGAGAAGGACAATGAGGAGGTGGAGCAAGAGGAGGGTGAGGAGCAAGGGCACGAGGAGCAGGGGAAACGAGGAGGAGCAGAATGAATCGGGCGGGCGAGCAGGCAGGCCGCGGAGGAAAGGAGCTAGGGAGGGCGAAGGAGGGAGAAGCAGGGATGGAGAAACGGACGAGGGAGCAGTCAGGGAGGGGGGAGGCAGGCTTCTAGGACAGGGGAGATTGCCATGGCCAACGTGTCACCACGTCGTCAAGGCTTGCTCCCTTACCACGGGGGCGGCGAAGTGGGGTGGAGGTTCGCGGGGGCAAGGACCACCTGCTAGCCCGCCCCGCCTCTGTCTCTCTGTTTCAATCGCTGCCCTGCCTTGATCTTGGCCGTGCATGGCACCGAGGCGGTGCAAAAGAGTCATAATCAAATATTTGGTGCAGGTACCTCCAGAAGGCCGAGCAGGGATGGCAGGCATGGATGTTGCGGGAGGTTGGTTCTTCAACCGCCTCGATGCTTCGGCGACGACGTTGGCGCGGGCGTTGGAGATTGACCACTTTCCCGGTGCTCATCTGGGTCCCCAGGACCCAAAGAGAACATCCCACGGAGCGAAATCCACAGGACAGATAGGGGCGAACGTTTCTTGGGACCTCCGCGACAGGAGACCGCGGTTCACGCGATGCCAGAAGCCATGGCTGCGTCGTCAGGACAGGAATGCGCCGCAGGTGGAAGGGAGAGGTGGGAGTTTGGGGAGGGTGCCAGGCGGCGACGTTGACTTAGGTTGGGACATGGCTGGACTCCCAGATTGATTACGAGGGCGCATGCCTGGCGAGTAGTCAGATTCTGGCCCTTGTGCCTTCGAAATTTGGGCCCACCTGTCCACGCCTCCCAAGTGGGGTCCGAGTCGGTGGGATCGGAGAATCGCGCCGCATCGCCAGTGCACCTGCAAAGCGGTTCAATGTGGAGCCCCTGTGCCCGCCCGTCCACGCCTCCCAAGTGGGGTCCGAGTGGATGGGATCGGAGAATCGCGCCGCATCACAGTATCCGTGGGGCGCGACAGTATCCGCGCCGACGTCTGTGATGCGTCGGCGACGTCGCCGATGTACTGGCGTTGCGGTATTCGAACAATTCTTGTGGGAGGCATCTCAAAGTCTGGCCCAGTGAAGGCCTGGGGCTGGAGGGGTGGTTGCACGGGCTCGAGGCATCTAACTCCAAGGTTGCGACAGGTTCGTGGCGCATTGACGCGGCGACGACCCCAGCGCGGGCGTTCCGGGCGTTCAGGACAGAACGCTAGGCCCAGAATCAGCCGACATCGAACGCTCTGCGCGACCAGAGAGCCGTAATCGTTCAAACTTGAACGATCCACGCGGGGGAAGAGACCATCGGGCACGTCTTCACAGCTCGTCTTGCCGACATCCGAGTAGCATGGAAGGGGCGGGCGGCAGCGAGTAAGGGGGGTGGAGGTGGAGGGAGAGGGGGAGGTGGATGAGGAGGAAGAGGGGGATGAGGAGGAGCAGCAGGAGCAGGAGCAAGAGCAGGATCAAGACAAAAGGAAGGGAGGGAGGGTACGTAAAGCGGAATGAGCGGGATGAACGCTCGACAAACCGCACGCAATTTGCTTGACCGAGACCTTGCCAGCCACTCGGGCCGTCGCCGAGCCGCGGCCAGCTCGGCAACCTCTTCCTCACCACCAGGCGGCCCAGGAGGGGTCGGAGCGATGTCGGGGGGTTCGAATCCTGGGGAGGACTCGAGCCCAATTCAGTGTCGAGAGTCGCTCTACTTTGCCCTCCTGCGTGGGCGGCGAATTCCCAGGATGTCCGACGCAAGCTTATACCCTCAGGTATAAGGGCCCCTGCACTAGGGGTGAACGGGAGATTCTCAAGTGGCGGTCTGGCAGCCCAAATTTTTTCAAATTCACACACCCGCCTTGGCGCCGCGCACACTTTTTCAAACACGGCATTCTCTCCTCAACGCCGCGCACAGCTCTGTGAAGCGGACTGGTAGAGATTCGAGCCCCCGGAAGGAGAAGAGGGAGGGAGAGGGCGAAGGTCCCTTGTGGAGGGTTTCAACAAGAACCCTTTTGTGGAGGGTTTCGTTTCAGTTGGAATCCAGATTGTGGAATTTTCAATGAGAATCCTTCTGTGGAGGGTTTCTCCTTCTGTTGAGGGTTTTATTCGGAATCCATAGTTTGTGGAATTTGCAATGAGAATCCTTCTGCGGAGGGTTTCGCTAGGAATCCTTCTGTACATGGCTTTAGTAGAAGTCCTTCTGTGGAGGACTCAACCGGAATGCAATGCCAATTCAATGCCAACGCAATGCCAGTGCCATGCCGGCGTTTTGCCTGCGCAGCGCCAACGCTATGCCAAGGAACACACATGCTATGCCAATGCTATGTTAGGTCCGTGCCACCGCATGCAAGCACAATGCCAGCACATGGCCAGTGCAATGCCAATTCGGATTCAATGCCAGTCCAATGCGAAAGCGATGGGTCCTTTCTCTTGTGCACATCAACAGGAATCCTTCTGTGGATTGTTTAAATTGGAATCCTTCCGTAGAGGATTCAAGTAGGAATCATTATGTCGAGAATTTCAATAGCAGCCCTTTTTGTTCTGGATTTCAATAGGAATCCTTATGTGAAGGATTTCAATGGAAATCTTTCTGTCGAGGATTTCAATGGAAATCCTTCTGTGGATGATTTCAATAGGAGCCCTCTGCGGAGGATTCCAATCGGAATCGTTCTGCGGGCGTATCCAGAAGAATCCTTGGGCGGAGGATTTCGTAGGAGTCCTTCTGTGGAGGGTTTCAACGGGAACCATTCTTGTGTTGGATTTCAATCAGAACCCTTCTGTTCAGGATTTCAAGAGAAATCCTTTTGTGAAGGATGTCGGTGCGGATTTGTTCTGTTCGATTTCATTATATGAATGCAATGCCAAGACGATGCCAAGGCCCTGGCAGTGCTGTGCCAGCGCTTTGCCAGCGCAAGGCCCATCGCAACGCCAAGGGGCACCAATACTATTCGACCTTCCTATGAAAGCTTCCAGTAGGAATCATTATGTGGAGGGTCTACAACCAACATCTTTGTTTATAAAGAATTTCAATAGGAATGTACTTCTAATGAATGCAATTTCTACGCTGGCTCTTTGCCAGCGCAAGGCCAGTGCAACGCCAAGGAACACCAGCGCTATGCGATTCTACGTTATGTCCGTGCCAATGCGTCGCAGCACACTGCCAGTGCAACGCCAGCACTTGGCCAGCGCACTGTCAATCCCCATTCAACGCTATCCAACGCGAAAGGCATGAACTTGTGTTTTCTTTTTATATGTTAATAGAAATCCTGCTGTGGATGGTGAACTGGACTCTTGGCATGGGGGGTTTCAGTAGGAGCCATCTGAGGCGGAATTGAACATGAATCCTTCCATGAAGGGCCCCAAGAGGGATGCGATGCAATTCGCGTCCAAGGCAATGTTTGTGCGATGTCAGCGCCGTGCCAGCGCAAGGCCATGCAATGCCAAGGGGCACCAGGGAATATGTGTTCCATAGTTCAGTAGAAACCTTTCTGTGGATGATTGGACTCGAAATCCTGGTTTTGGGGTGCCAAGTAAGAAGCTTCTGTGGAGGAAATGGGGGTCTTTCAGTGGGGGAATTCATCAGGACCTCCTGCATGAAAGGTTTAAACAGACATGCTGTGGCAAACCGATTCCGAGGCAACGTTTGTGCTATGCCAGTGCCCTGTCAGCGAAAGGCCACTGCAATGCCCGGGGGCACCGTTTTTTGCTGGGTATATATATATATATATATATATATATATATATATATATATATAATATTAGCCCCCCCCGCATGATCATACATGCTCCTCCTCATATGTCATCATGTCTCTTCTTGCTTCTTTGCTTCTTCCTCTATTTCGCCTCTCTTCTTTCTCCTCCCCCTCCTCTCCCCTCTCCTCCTCCTCCTGCTCCTCCGACTCCAGCGCGACAGGTCTTCCTTCCGCGAGGAGGAGGAGGAAGACGGCATTGAACAAAGCCAAGAACACAATGAAAAACCAAACAAACGAAGAAACCAAAGCCTTACGATTGGAAAGCTTTAACAGCACATGGGAAACAACAACAACACAACAAACAAACACATATTTCAATACTCACGCCGCCCCCGCTGCCGTAACCGAGAACGCCCTTATTTTTTTTGTTGCTTTTGGGTTGCTTTGTGGGAAAATAAAGAAAAGACAAACAGCTTTCCAGTCTTAAGGCTTTGGTGTCTTTGCCAGTTCAAGGCGGGGGACCTCGCGCCGTCGCCAAGTACTCGTCCAAGCTGCAGATCGACTTGCGCTGGGCGTCGGCCTCCTCAGCCCCTGGGGCGCGCCGGCACGCGCGGGTCTTAGTGTTCGCGAAGAAGCCCTCCAGCTTCGCGAATACCATCGCGCAAGCGCGAGTAGCCTTCTCGTGAGAAGCTTGCCTGACAAGGTTGAAGAAATCCTGGGACTTGACGGGCGGCCAGCAATCATACTTCACTGCCTCGGGGTCGCACACCTGGTCTGCAATGGCGCGCGGCTCGCCCTTCGCCCACTTAGTCGCCCCCCACCGCGCCCAGCGCGTGGATTCGAACTGGCCGACGCCCAGCATGGCCTTGACTATTTTCGACGGCAACTGGTTGAGGGAACCATGATCCAAGAATCCAAGAAGTCGCCCATGGTGAGAGAACCAGGCCCCCCGCGCAGGAAGTCGATCTCGGGCGTCACGCGGGCGCGCGCGGATTTGGGGTCCAACTCGTGGATGCGGGCTCTGCGGCGGCAGAGCGCGAAGAGGCACGACCGCCCCAGGGGCGTCTTTCCGAATTTCGGCTCGCCAATGAGCACGAGGGGCCCGAGCGGGTCCATGATTTCTGCCATGGCGTATAGCACCCGCGGCTTGAAGTGTTCCTTTGTCAGGGTGATGTGCCACTCGGTCTCCTTCTTCGCGAGCGAACCCTCCGCCGCGAGCCCGCCCGCCGCCTTCGCCGCCAAGGCAGCGGGCCAGCCGCGGAGGGGGGCGCCGTTGCGCAGCGCCTTCGCCTGCCAGATCAACTGCTTGAGGTCGGCCGTGCAGCAGGGCGCGTTCTTAGGGGTGCTTTCGGAATCAGCGTCGATGGCATCGCCCGACAGCGCGTGGAACTCGTTCGCCCCGGCATTCGCATTGACGTCTGACGACGAGAAAAACGCACGAAACTGCGCCCCGCCAAAGCGCTCAAAGGCGCGCTGCCACACCTTGACCCCACCTTGCAGCGCCGAAGAAATAAGCAGCGAGGGCGCGGCGGCGCCATGCCAGGTTGTCAGCGCCCTCAGGTGGTAGAGAAATTGCGAAACATGCAGCCGCGCCCTCGCCATCTTTTTTTTTTTGTCGAGGCCTTGCGCCTTGAGGTGCTGGAAGCAGAGCTTCTTGACGCTGCCGGAAGCCACGCTGGCGAAGATGGCCGTCTTCGTCTTCTTGGGGTGATGCAGCGATTGATGATGGTCTTCGAGCCGCCGTGGCAGTCGAAGATACATATCTTGACGGTCATGCGGCTCGGCGGCGCCGTCTTGAAGCCGAACGGCGGCGGCCGCTTGCGGTGTTCGTCATCGCCCGCGCCGCCTTGTGCAGCTCGTCAAGCTCGGGGGGGGGATCGGTCCGCGTGCCCAGTGATGAAGTCGATGTAGTGGACGAGCGGGGTTTCGTTGTCCCCGACGTTGTTCGCGAGCTCGAGAAATGTTTCTAGCTCGCCTTTCGGCGGCGCGGCCGTCGCCGTGGACTTGGGCAGAGGGCGGCAAAACCAGCCCTCGGTCGCCGCCTTAAGGTCCTCGTACGCGGACATGGCACGGTCTTGAACAGCGCGGCAGGTTTGCCAGAAGGCGCGCGCTCGGCGACGCAATGAGCCCAAACAGCTGCGAGCTGGATGGCGTCGCAGAAAACGGACGCAACTGAGCGGTTTCCCGGCCGGGGGGTCTCGGGGCACCGCGATCCAACGTGGGGCAGTTATTGGTTGGCACTGTTTTGCAATCGGCAATGTCAAGAGGCGCGAGCGGCCGCGGGGAACTGACAATTGATAACGTTCAAAACCACGGTTGCGCAGGCCGCGGCCGCGCATCACTGCAGGCGGCGGCGCGCGCCGCGGAGACCGACATTTGGGCCCGCGTGCATGCGGTGGTTCGGCTGCGCGCCGCCCACGCCAAAGACCATTGTGCGGTGTGGGGGTGGGCAGAGCGACTGCTGCGCGATCCATTTCATCCTGCTCCACGCGGTGGACCACTCACCCCCCGCCGCGTCGCACTAGCGCGGGTAGTCGGTGGAGGCGAGCGCCGCGGTGCACGCGCGGTCGCGGTCATCGCGGTGGATGCATTCCGCCGCCACTTCGAAGCAGCGGTGCTCGCGGACAAGCACGTCGCCTACTGCGGGGTCGCCCGACGCCCACAGCGGGCCCGCGAAGCCCGGCGCCACGAAGGGGGTCGCACTTTTCTGGGATTGGAAGAAGTTGTGCCAAAAGAACACGATGAACTTGTCCTGGGGCCGGTTAACCGAAAATGCATAGCTCACCGCCCCAATTCGAAGTTGGGCGTTTTGGGGGGTCAATGATTCAACGGCAAATTGCACCACCAATGTATGCGCGACAAAACCAACGCCGGGTTCCCCCCGCCCCTGTCCTCGCCTTTGGCCAAGCGCTGAGACTGCGCAAGCCCAACCTTGCGCCGCGCTGAGCCGGGTGGCAAGAGGCTGCCAGGCGCGACGTTCTGGATGATGGCGCACTCGAAAGCCATGGCTTGAGACTTGCTGCGGGCTGGTGGCTTGGCGGGAATGACAGGTCATTCTGAAGGGGCCCGAACGCACTCGCGGCGACGGAGGGCGGGGGGGGGGCGAGCGGGCGGGCGGTTGCATGACCGGCGACGGCGCGAAGACGAGGGCCTGATTTGAAAAGTTTGCCCTCCATCCCTTCGTGTGTTGAACCTGTACGACGGATGTGCGGGGCGCTATCGCTCGGACCCTATTGTGAAAACGTCGCCCCCATCCGTTTGCGCAGTTGCTGCAACCGTTTTGGCATTGCGCGCAGCGCTAAGGCGAAAACTACGTTGTGCAAGCGAGCCCCCCTCCATGTCGGTAGTTGTTGCAACTGTTGTGAACGATTGCGTGGTTGTGCCAAGGTGAGAGCTCCAACGACCCATCCTCCGTCTTTGTCACTGTTGCAAGTTTTAGGATGAATATGTGTGGCCCTGAGGCGGTAGCTGCAACTTCCAATTTCAGGATCATGAGCAGTGGGGGGTCTTAGGCGAAACGCCTGCCCGCCCTGCCGACACGTCCGGGGGGTGCGACATGGAAGAATTATCTAGAAGGGGAACGGGTCGAGGAGGAGGAGGAGGAGGAGGAGGAGAAGGAGGACGGCTTACGAGGAGGCGGGGGGAATGGAGGCGTTGGTGCTTGGTGCAGGCGCGGCGAGGCGCAGACGCGAAAACGGACTCGGTGCTTCTGACGCCGCCGCAGACGCCCTCCACTCGGCCGCCGTCTTCAAGCGGACGCTCTTCTTTTTGGCGGTCCGCGCGCGCCCCGGGAAGGAAAGAGAGGAGCACGGAGGGAGGAGGGGGCAGGAGGAGGGCCAGACGACGAAAGAGGACGAGGAGTCTCCAGAGGGGCACGAGGGCTGAGGGAGGAGGGAGCGGATGAGATCTCCAGGCCGCCAGAGTGGGGTCCCGAGCACATCGGGTCGGATGGTGGCACTGCAGCGACGGTGCAGCGGCGATGCCTCCAGCAGCCGCGCCTTTTTTTGGCGGCCCGCTCGTGCCCTCAGATCTCCAGGAAGCCGTTGGGTCTGGTCCGAGCACGTCTCTTGGAGGTGCTTGGGTTCTTGGGTTTTTCGGGGGCTCCTGGGGGGTTCGGGGGTTGGGGTTCGGGAGTTCTTCGGGGAGGTCGGGTTTTTTGGGGGGTTCTTGGGGCTTCTGGGGTTCATGAGAACTTTGGCGGTTCTTGGAGCTTTTGGTGGTTCTTTGGGGGTTCTTTGGGGGTTTCGGAGGTTCTTGGGCGGGCGCCGTGAACAGATCGCGACCGGCTCGCTCGACCCTTGTCTATTTGGGACCAGGGCCCTCGAGGATGGTCGATGATCCTCCAGCCGTGTGCTATCCGCAGTCAGCTTGTTTGCACCGTACCGCGTTGGCGTCTTCCCAGGCGTCGTCGATCCGCGACCCAGGAATGGTACGGTCCATAGCCTGATAGCGTTTCGCCCCCCAAAGTCGAACAATTGTGCATCGTACCGCGTTGTCGCGGAGCCTTGAGAGTGTCTAAACATTGTACGGTGTTTGGTACCCGTTCTCGTATGTTGGTTCAGTGTTTGTGTTTATGCGTGTGTGTTGACTACGCCGCGCAGCGTTTATCTTACTTTGTGGGTTCGGTCGCCCTTACGCGAGCATACATACACGTACACCGCGGGGTCTATTCCCTCCCCGTCGTTCTCAACGCAGTTCGGTGTCTTCCGCAAAGTTGGTCGCAAATAAGTCTGGCGTGACCCGTTTTTGTTTATCACGATGATGGTGCCACACCGCCAGTGGAATAGAACGTTTGCTTACCCCGTTCAGCGCCGCGCACATGCTAGCCCGTGCCGGCCCCGATTACGCTACCTGCGTCCTATTGACGGGGCTTCGGAGGACAAGCACGCGCTGGCGCTGACACACGTTCTGAGGACTATCGAGACGGGGCCGGCTCGTCAGACCCCAGACGAGGATGGCGTCGAGAGCAGGGTTCGACCGAGAACGTGGTTTGGCGACTTTGTGGACCGCCTTTCGATTGTTTTTTTTTTTGTTTGAATTTGCGGCCAACGAACACAAAACGAGGGAAGACGAACACGCAACGCAAAGGACAACCACCATCTAGATCGAGCCCTGGCCGAGAATCTCTGGTCGTTCTGGTCGTGGTTTTTGCACCTCGGCGTGCTCGTGGCGTCTGGCGTCGGGGCGTCAGTAGGCTGCCGTGCCTCTTTCCTTCCTGCAGGTCGCCTCTTGCCTGCGGCAGGCGCGAGGTCGCGGATTTCTCCCTCGCTTGCCTCCTTCCCTGCGTGGCCTCCGTGATCGACCCCCCCGTTCCCCTCCTCGCTCCCTCTTCTCCTCCTGCCCCCCCTCCTTCTTTTGTCTTCCTTACTCCCTCCTGGCCCTCACCCTCCTCCTTGGACTCTCTCCTCCCTCCTCCCGTCTCTTCGCCTCCTCACCGCCTCCTTCTCGTCTCCTTGTCCTCCTCACTGCAGATGGTTCCCATGTCCAACAGCAGCACGATGAGGAAGGGGGGAGGAGAAACGCTGGAGGATACTTACTAAGATGCGTCAGCGATGCTGCAGCACACCCTGCCGTCTTAAGTTTCCTCGCCATACGTCCCAACAAACTCGTACACGCACTACTGGAAGCGCGCCCCTGTGAGAGACCTGGGCCACGTGGGCCTGCCATTTTGGCGGGTTAGCCCTTGTTGAAAAAAGGCACTGCCTTGCAATTTTCTGGCGCGAGTTCTGGAATTCGAGAAGCGAATTCTGATCATGCAACGCAGCGGGGTGCCCACACATCACCCTGTATAAGAAGGGCAGCCTCCCACCTGTGCAACTGTTGTGCAAGCTTTCATTTGTGGTCATGGACTTCGAGGGGGTCTACAGCGAGAGCGCAAAAGGAAGCGCCCTATATCTGTGAGGCGCTGAATGTGTTGAAGTGTCGTGTCTATAGGGCTAAAGAAGTCTCAAGCGATGCCACATCCTGAGAGGGCATGTATCCATCCTTCTAGGTACTGCACGCGTTCACGCGGAGCAAAGCCGTAAGCGCAACGCCGTAAACTCTTAGTGCTCAATCTTTGCACGTGCTGCAAATTGTTCAGACGAATGTGCGCGGATCTTAGACGAGCCACATTGTATAGCATATGTTATGTTTTGAGTTTGGCGACGTGTTGTGCGACAACTCTGAAGAGATCCCAGTCTACCCCAAAGAATTTCCTGGGAATTCTTGAAAGCGGCCCTTCGCCGTCGTCGCCGACGTCATTGGCGACTACTTGACAAGTTTCTTATGGCTCTCGGGGATGTCCAGAGACGCCCCGCCGAGCATCACCAAGAGTTCCATGGTAGGGTACAGAGTTCTGAGTTCCTCAAGTGCCTCACAAATTTTGGCACCCTTCAAGATCGGCTGCGCGCCCGGTGGGGAGTGAGAGGGGGCGGGCTTTCTCGGATGGCTCGGACGGCCTGCTGCCTTCTGAGAAGTGTTCTAAGCCTTCCCCGAAAATGCAGAACCTTTTCTCAGAAGGCGCGAGGGTTTCTGTTTTTTTCCCTACCTAGGCTCTGCCTAGAAGGGTTCATACGCGCTTGGCTTAAAGGGGCCGGGCAGTGCAAACCGCCCCGGGCGGTTCCCCCAGTCCCCTGGGAGCCAAGCAAAAGCAACAGCAAAGGTAAAAGCAAACGCGCGGTTCCCCCAGTTGCGCTCCTTGGGTGCCAAGCAAAAGCAAAAGCAAAAGCAAAACCAAAGCAACGGCAAAAGTGAGGGCAAAGCGAAGGCAAAGCAAACACATATCATAGCATAGCATAGCATATCATAGCTCAGCACAGCATAGCGCAGCATAGCATAACATAGCATAGCATAGCCTAGCCTAGCCCCGCATAGCATTGCGCAGCATCGCATAGCATAGCAGAGCAGAGCAGAGCAGAGCATATCATAATAATTAGCATAGCATAGCATAGCGCAGCACAGCATCCACTATTGCTGCTGCTATAGATTACTATTACTACTACTGCTACTACTACTACTACTCCTACTACTACTACGATTACTACGACTACTACTACTACTACTACTACTACTACTACTACTACTACTACTACTGCTACTGCTACTGCTACTGCTACTGCTACTGCTACTACTACTACTACTACTACTACTACTACTACTACTACTACTACGACTACGACTACGACTACGACGACTACGACTACGACTACTACTACGACTACGACTACGACTACGACTACGACTACTACTACTACTACTACTACTACTACTACTACTACTACTACTACTACTACTACTACTACTACTACTACTACTACTACCTACTCCTATCCTTATTCCTTATTAGAATATACTCCTACTCCCCCCTCAGGCCGGCCATTAGGGGCCGCATCCGGGTGGTCCCATCCTAACCTGTAAAAAACAATACAAAATCAACATTTTTCTTATTTTTTCCTCTCGACATGGACGTCCTGTCGTCCACGGCGATAATCCATTGCAAAAAATACCACAAAGAGCACACGCGCGCGTTCATGTCAGAATCCTACCGAACACCGTGTGTTTGCAAGCATTTCAACATAAAAACATCAAAAACCCAATGCTTTTTCACAAAAATTGTACAAATTTCCCGCCCGGGCTCTCTTGCTGAAATCATAGGAAAACCATAGGAATCTTAAGAATTCGGTCAAATCCAGCGATTTCACGTCATCGCGCGGTGCACTCGCGATGCTCTGTCATGCACCCAGGCCGCGAATCCTGTGCAAAAAATACCACAAAGAGCACACTCGCGCGTTCATGTCAGAATCCTACCGAACACCGTGTGTTTGCAAGCATTTCAACATAAAAACATCAAAAACCCAATGCTTTTTCACAAAAATGCTTTGGGGTGTCCTGTCAGACCGTCGGGCTTCCTCCGGCCACCTCTGGCTTCCTGCGGTGTACCGGGCCATTCTCGACTCGTCTGGCAATGCGTGCGCGGCATTCAACACGCGCTCGCCAGTTCCCGTCGGCAACCGCCATCGCGGCCGCATCAGCTGTACCAAACCGGCTGGCCGGTGTGACTTCGGCCCCCAGTTGTGCCAGCTTTGCTTCTTATGTTGTGGGAGGGCGGGTGGGACTGGGCATGCCATGCTTGACTCGCTCGAGCTGGCTACCTTGACTCCTACTCCTACTCCTACTCCTACTACTACTACTACTACTACTACTACTACTACTACTACTACTACTACTACTACTACTACTCCTACTCCTACTACTACTCCTACTACTACTACTACTACTACTACTGCTACTACTACTACTACTACTACTACTACTACTACTACTACTACTACTACTACTACTACTACTACTACTACTACTACAGCTACGGCGATGAGGAGCAGGAGGAGAACGGCGTTTACCGCTCCTACTAATGTTGCCTTCCTAGAGGCTCAAATTCCTAGGTAGGGTCGCACTGGGATAATTTTCCTGTGGGCCACTGCTGACACGGCTCCCGCGGGGACGCACTAGCAGGCGGAGAGGGGAGGTTGAGCAGAAAGGGTTCCCAGTAGCAGAAGGAATCCCCGACGATGCCTTGGGCGGACTTGGTATGACGAAGCACAACATGCCCTTCGCCTCTAAGAAGAACTTCTCACAGGCTGGCCGAATCTATGATGTCGGCGAGCCCATGGCCTTCAAGTTCGCTTTGACGCGCGCGTAGAGCTCGTCCTTGCTGATCTTGCCATCCATGAGCAGCTCCACAGACTCGACCAGGAACGAGGGCTCCAGGCCTGAGTAGTTGACCTCGCTCGGTACTGCATCCCTCCCGCCGCCTTGATCACGATCACCTCCTGCATACTCGCGAAGGGGGCCGCCACGACCATCGCCTTCACGAAGGTCTTGCTCATGCACTTCCCCTCCACGATCTTCAGGAGGCTGCTCATGATCGACTTCTCGGCGGACGCTAGCCGCACCGCCAAGCCGCAAACCAGGCAATGCAGGATCTCCGAGGCCATCGGATCCCGCAACACCACCACCTTGGTCACCTGCTGTCTCTTCTTTCTGCTCAAAAACCGAATCCAACTCGTGGAAGTCGCAGCGGCTGCCTTCGCCAGCACTTGCCGACGCCCTCAGCTGCTGCTCCAAAACATTCAGCTCCTCAATCTTTTTCCGCTCCTGCTTCTTCTCCTTCTTCCTTTCCTCGCGCCTCTGACTTCGCACACGCCTCCTCTTCTGACGCTCCTCCGTCGTGAACTCCTTCCTGAACTGCTGCTTCACGGCGCCCTCGGTGGTGTAGGATGCCGCCGCCGTCGTCGTCGAATTTGAGTCCGCACAGGACGCCTCGGCGGCGCAGGCGGTGGAGGTGGCGGAGTGGTCGGACTCGTCATCGCGCAGGCTCGCCCAGGATTGGCCAAGCTCCTGTGCAAGATGTGCGCGTATGGATCCTTCAGCTCGGAGATGCTTGGGGGCAGCGGCGTCAGAGCTTGCACCGTCACCTTCCTCGGCACCCCCATCGCTTCCCACGCGTGGGAGGAGAAAGACTGCTTCTTTTTCACCTTCATGCCCTTGAAAAAATGATATTGTGCTTAAACATCTTGCCGTTGCCCTTGCCATTGAACTGCCGCTTCAGGCGAGACGACTTGGACTTGGGCTTGTTCTTCACGAGTACAGGCGCCGTCGTTGCAGGCGATGGGGGCGTAGGCGGAGGCGGCGGAGGACACCGCGGCGCAACCCTGCCAGCCGAACTGCTCTCCGTATTAGCTGCCAGGAGCCGTGTGGAAGGCGGCGACGGCGGTCGGCACACCTTGCGCACCCCCAGATGGGTCTTCACTTCACAAGGAGAGCCGTGGGCCCTCCCAAGCAGAGGATCGGCTTGCACTCCGCTGACGATGGGGACGTCGCCAGTGAAGAACTTGAGCTTCTCAATGAGCTCGGGCGTGACCAGCTCCACGGGGAGCAGGATGCGCATGCACAGGGGCAGGAGGCCGAGCAGGAGGCCGCCAGGGCCGGTCTTGACCGCCACCACGCGCGGCGGCCCTCGAGCCGCACAGATCCGTCCAGCGCCGGCCCTCCGCGCTTGAGCCCAGGCGCTGCAGGCCAGGGCCTGTCGTGCTCGAGCCGAAGAGGCGTGAGGCGAGGGCTTCGGAGAAGATCCGCCTCTTTCAGGGAAGGCCTGCTCCTTCTCGTTTCCCTCCCTTCGCTCGCCGCCGACAAGAGCCCCGAGCCCACCTCCAAGACCAATCGGCAAGTGGTCTGCAGGGTGACGGGGTGTCTTGAGAGGTGTCCGCCGTCGGCGTGGCCGGAAAACGACGAAAAGTGTTTCCTCGGTTATCGCTACCGCTGCCGGCACGTCGAGAAGTTTCCTTGAGTTCTTCTTGTGGAGTCTCAGACAAACGCCAATACCACTCCAGCAAGAACTTGGTGCCTCAGGCTGGGGCGGGAGAGTCCCCCGAACGAGGCCCAGACAGTGGCCGAACACTGGCCTGATATGGGCCAAACATTTCCCGAATCCGTGCCACGATGACGTACATTAACCAGGACAGGCTATCATACCTGCAACTGGTTCGTCGGGCCTTTGCGGTGCGTTCTGTTTTGGTGCCGAGATATCCGCGCACTTCGGTGTCGCGCTCGGTCCTGACGTTCATGTCGCCATCGCGTTGTGCGCCATTGCCACGTCCGTCTCGTTGCACATATCCTCCCTTGCCTAGCTTCTTATTCTAAACTATTTCTCTGTTTCCTCCGCCCTCCCAAGCATCAGCAATCTCATGTGCGCAGCAGCCATCGCTCCAGGAAAGCTGTCTCGCCATACCAGTGTCGCCACAGCCAACTACATCGTTCCTAAGGCCATCTCGCGACAAGATCCCCTCAAAATCCCTGTTTTTTTTTCCGAAATCCCCATCCTTTTCAAAATCCTCTCAAAGTCGTCGCCCTCGCAAGTGGGCCGAAGTCCCTTAAAATCCCCTCGTCGCGCTCGGAATCCCTTCAACATCCCTTCAACATCTGATCAACATCTCCTCGTCGCGCTCCGCATCCCCTCAACATCCCTTCAAAATCCCTTTCGAAACCCCTTCAACATCCCCGCCACGACCGTGTGTCCTAAGGCGTGATGCTGTGCATGTGCACGGCGCATTGAGATGTTATGGTGTCATACCTGACTAGGTTTGAAGGTTCTGTCGAATTCGGTTCGTGAAGTTATGTGGCGCATTTCCCCCGAGTGCGCCCATCGTTTTACTTTCGTTCGCGTTGTGGGGCCATCGCGCAACTCCGCGTTTCAATTGTGCAGTCGGGGTGTTTCAGTCCCTTGCGGTGGCTGGTTCGCCGTTTTTACATGAGCCTCCACTTCTGCCACTCGCGTTCCGTTGGCGCACTTGCTTGGCCTGCGGCGAATTGAAGCCCTGTCGGCAAACCATGGCAAGTATTGCATAACCTTCGGATGCGGTCGTTGGCAGCTGTTTCGGGTGGGCGTTCAGCGCCCGTCTTTTTTGAGAGGGACGTCCGGCTTACATTAGGAGCGCGTGGGCGGTGTGCTCCTGAACGTCACCCAGAGCCTTTCTCCGACCTAGGGCGGGACAGGGCCCCCAGGCTGCTTCTCCGAGACTCCTCAGCTCCTCTAGGCGGCGAGCGAGGGGGGGAAATGAGAGAGAGAGAGAGAGACGACATTCGCAGAAGGCGGCGGAGTTTTTCAGAAGTCCTTCGGCCTGCTGATCAGTTTTCTGTGCCTTTGGGGAAGGCTTAGAAAATTGTTCAGAGGGCTCGAGCATTCCCGAGCCTTTGAGAAGGCCCGCCTCATAGTCATCACTTCACCCCCGGGTCTGGCCGCCGACTTGAGCTCCTCGGAATGTCCGGCGTCCTAAAGCTTTCATACGCATCCCCACCGCATCGGAATGATTTCCCAAAGAGCGTCAAATGGGCCGCAGCAGACAGCGTGTGCTATCCATTATGTCCCGTCCCGACTGTGCCCAAGGAGTGGGAAGGATGCCCTCCCACCAGATTCTAGGCCTCCCAGATGGGGTCGGAGCAGATGGGGTCGGAGGATCGCGCCGCATCGCCGATGCATCGCCGATGCGGCTGGATGTGGAGCCCGATTTGCTTCGCGTCGACGTCGCCGATGCATCGCCCACGTCGACGATGCATCGCCAGTGCATCGACGATGCATCGCCGATGCATCGGCGATGCGGCGCGATCCTCCGACCCCATCTGCTCCGACCCCATCCAGGAGGCCTCTACAGATAGCACATGCTGTCTAATTTGAGGGATGCCCGCACCACCCTTCGTACAACCCAGAATGATTAAGTCTGGAACCGTAAGAACTCCGGTCAGTATCCTTGGGAATTCCCATGGAATTTTAATAATTTGTTAAAGATATTTTGGCATGATCTTCGGAATAAGGGTGCTTAGTATTTTATGAGGATTGTTGTGGATGTTCAATGTCTTTCAGGGCTCACACCGATCCCCTAAGATAGCGCAGGGATTTCTCGAGGAGCCCGTTCGGATTCCTGCGGAATCCTGGCGCTCTCAGGAGTTCCGCGGAACCCTGAATGAGCCCGACGAGTGGCATTTAATATTGAGGGTTGGAACCCGTGTGATCGCGCATTCCTCAGAATTCCTTTGGACATTTGTTTGCACACCTGACAAAAGCCAGTAGGACTCGTCCAGGAATCTTCCATAGTCCCCTGGATTAGTTTGGGAGTCTGTGGGAAACACACACACGCACACACGAGGAAGACGGAAAAGAGACGGAGGTAGCGGTGTTTCAGAGGTGATATATATATATGTATATATATGTATATATGTATATGTAGTCCAATCGGAGGGTTGTGGAATAAGTTATTCCGAATATGCGATGCGTGTCTTGATGTGCAACACGTTGTCCATCTATCTGGTCTAGACAGTTGGAGAAGCGCGAGGATCACACATATTTGCCGAGAACAACCGACTGGATGGCTTAACCTTGACCTTTTCCCTTTGACCTGGCGCTGGGCGGGAAGGGTGTCCGAAGGACACGTGGAGCCCGGACTTCAGTGCTACTACACTTTGATCGTAGACCGCTCGCGCACTGCTGCCGTCTGCGGCTGGAGATTACTGAAATGCCCCACCGGCGAAACCAGTCTCGGCGCTGGCATTTAGGGGGGGGTAAGGGGGGGGGACTGCCCCAGAGGACGAAACATCGTCCCTCAATTGCCCATTCTTCGCCAATCGGGGCCTGGTACCCCACTCCGCCCAGGAAGGTCCAGTTTCACCAACAGAGACCAGCCGCCGATTTACCAGCGACGCATCGCCGATTCCAGGCTAATGCTCCCCCCCCCCTAGCCAGGCCCCCCCTGCCGACCCTATTCATTGCTGCATTTCGAGATTGCCACGCCGAACACCAAGAAGAAGAGGAGGAGGACGATCAGTGGTGGGCGACCCCCCCCCCCCGAAGGACTCAGCGGGTGCAGCACGCCGGACCCCGCCACTGGCGTGCCCCCGCTGCCCCTCGGCCGCGCCCTCGGCGTGGACGAGCTCGCGGGGGTGGCCGAAGGCGCGCATCGGGCGTTGCCGCCCCGCTTCGATGCTCTGTCAGAGCGGGTCGGCATCGCAGGGCCAGCGTGGAGATGCCTTAAGTGACAAATCATATCTTCAACTTGTGATTATCCATGCGTTTCCTTCTTTACGATGGTGCATCCTTGTTTCCGCGCGTCCGTCAAGTGAAGTGCCCGCGTACTGGCAGTGCCCCCCCCCGCAGGCATTCGCGAGGCTATCGAGGCGGAGCAGGAGATGCTGCTAGCCGCCATAGGCCTTGCATCTTGTTGTTCCGATGTTGTGCTTTGAAGCTCGCACATTCACCTGGTTAGTGAGCGATTCGAACCGGTTCTACCACATGTGATGTCAGGCTGCCAAGTGCTGAAGCCTTCCAGCTCCGGGTGCTGGAAAACAGTGGCGCGTGACAGCGTGTGCAAGAAAACGCGGAGTCTAGGCTGAGATGGTACAGTCGGTAGTCTTGGGAACACTGAAACGCGTGTGGAGGTGCACGCGTTCGCATTCAGATATCTATATGCATAGCTGGGCAGTGTTTTTCCATTATGCTCTTTTTCGGACTCGGCATGTCTCCAAAATTATATGCGCGTGAAAGAAAGACTCGGCTGCTGAATTGAGTTTGGCATGGCTGCTATGCTGGACCTCCCGGTCTGGCCATACAGATTAGATGATTATTGGCCAGCGCCAGCAGGCAGATTGGCATCTTCGAAGCCTTGCACACCTAATCTCTCACGAGCTGTATGCACAAGTTGCTGAGCATCGTGGCTCGGTCCTGGGATTCACGATGATGGGAGTCAGAGGGAGCTTAAAAGCAGGAGGACGAGCCGGATCTCGTTCACGTCCGCGTCGCTGCCACCGCCTTTGTGCGGGCCCCACCAGGCGAACAGATGCAGCAGCTGGAGGCAGAGGAAGCGGTGCCCCTCGCGCGGGGCGCGTGGAGGAGTAGGAAGAGGAAGAGAGGGCCCGGGGAGGGGGCCTCTGCAAGAAAACGAGGAGGAGGAGGAAGAGGAGGAGGAGGAGGAGGAGGAGGGGAGGGGTAGGAACGAGCGGAGGAGGAGGAGAAAGAGGAGGAGGAGGAGGAGGAGGAGGAGGAGGAGGAGGAGGAGGAGGAGGGGGAGAGGGGCGGAGGAGAAGAAGGGATGAGGAGGGGGACAAGTTATAATGAGGGTGGCCCGTCATTTGATTTTCGCCAGGCGGCCTGTGTTGGATTGCGTTGAACTGAATTGAAATGCTTATCCAGGGTCGATGGCAGTTTTATCCGCTGGAGGCCAGGATATCCGGGTTGCGCCTTACGACGAGGCATGGCCAGCTCGAGGAAATTATCGAGGGTGCCGGCTGCGCATCACCGGCCGCTCCCTGGGAGTTTGCCGAAGTGGTGCGCAGCATCGAAAGTCATGTCGCGGCGCGTATGCCAGCTATCGAAGACGCCTACGGCGAATCACCGCCGCCCCCTGCCTTTTTGGAAGCGCCTATGTGGCCGAACGTTGAGGCCAGACCTGCCAAGCCATCAGACCATGTGATCCCCGAATCGGTTTGGAAAGCCTTCGGGGAACACGTGGGCATCTTGAAGGTCATCTTGGCCGTCTTGGAGGCCTCTTGGGCGATCTTTCGGCGATTTTTGGGGGCTCTTGGGCCGTCTCGGGCCGTCGGAAGGCCGAAAAGAAGGAAATGTCAAAATCCGTCAAAAACCTGAGGAACATCCATGTTTTTGGCCTCTTCTGGCCTTCCTGGAGGCCCTCTTGGGGGCCTCTTGGGCCGTCTTGGGCCAGCTTCGAGCCAACTTCGGCCATCTTGGTGGGTTACTGGCACGTCTGACGCCGTCGGGAGCCGTCTTGTGGGCCTCATTGGGCCCACGGGGGACCATCTTGGGGCGCTTCGGGGCCGTCTTGGAGGCCATCTTGGACGTCTTGGAGGCCATCTTGGGCGTGTTGGAGGCCTCTTGGGCCGTCTTGAGGCCCTCTTGGGGCCTTCTTGGGGGCCTCTTGGGCCGTCATGGGGCCATCTTGGAGGCCTCTTGGGTGCTGTTGGGGCGATGTTGGGGACCTCTTGGGCCGTCTTGGGCCGTCGGAGAGCTGAAAAGAAGAACATGCCAAAATCCTTGAAAAACCTAAGGAAAATCAATGATTTTAACCTATTCGGGCCTTCCTGGAGGGCGTCTTGGAGGGCTCTTGGGCCGTCTTGGAGGCCTTTTGCGGGCCTTTTGGGCCGTCTTAGACCATCTTGAGGCCATCTTGGGCCGTCTTGGGTGCATCTTGGAGCCATCTTACCCGTCTTGGAGGCCATCTTGGCCGTCTTGGAAGCATCTTGGAGGCCATCTTGGGCCATCTTGGCCGTCTTGGAGGCCATCTTGGGCCAAGTTGGGGCAACAAAGGCATTGACAGATGGATTTTCGGAAACTTGCGGGTGGCCGGCGGGACGGGCCGAAGCCCACTGGGGAGTTCTTTTAGAAAAAGAACCAAAACCAAAACCTGAAACATCCAGCACGCCGTGCACCCCTGTGGCAAGACCACAGGGGGCGGCGGATCAAATGGCCGTCGGCCCATCCCGCCACCGTGCTTGGGTTTTGGGTCGGAGTCCTCATGGACGCTTCTTGGGGTCTCTCGAGAGCGCTCTCGGGGGCCTCTGCCTGAGTGGAGCTTGGGGGCCTCCTGGGAGCTTCTTGGGAGCCTCTTGGGGCCCTCTTGGGGCCTCCTGGGGCTCTCTTGGAGCCTCTTGGGGGCCTCCTGGGGGCCTCTTAGAGCCTCATGGGGGCCTCCTGGGGGCCTCTTAGAGCCTCATGGGGGCCTCTTGGGACCGAAAGCTCGAAATGTTCATTCGGGTTCCCCTTCTGGGCGCCCTCTTGGGGCCGTCCTGGGGCCCCTCTTGGGCCGTTCCAGGGGCCTCTTGGGACGTCTTGGGGCCCTCTTGCGCTGTCTTGGAGCCTTCTTGGGAGCTTGTTGGGCCGTCCTGGGGTGATCTTGGGGGCCTCTTGGGCCGTCTTGGAGTGTCAGTAAGCCGAAATAGCCAAACGCGGAAATTCTTCAAAAACCATCGACTAATCAATGATTTGTGTCTCTTGGAGCTCTCTTGGGGGTGCTCTTGGAGGCCTCTTTGGCCGTCTTGGAGGCGTTTTGGGCCGTTTGGCGGCAATCTTGGGCGTCTTGGAGCCGTCTGGAGGCTCTTTTGAACTGCTTGTTGGGACTCTCTTGGACCGGCTTGGGGCGCTCTTGGGTCGTCCCCGGGCTGTTCCAGACCTTGAAGGAGGGGGGGGGGGCCGGCGGCAGACCCTCGGAGGGACTTTCAGGGAGGTTTTTGACCAGGCATTGGCGAATGGGACTAAAGACTGTGCCAAACACTCTGTCAGAGAGGTCTCGCACGGCTCAACCCGCAGGGCGGGAGCGGCCAGATCTTAAGGGCTTCGCCCTCTGCCGCCGGCCCCCCTATTACTAGTGCGTGCGGCTGCGTGGATAGCGCCGTGGGAGCTTCTCGTGGCAGGCTTCTCGGCAGCGTCTGCGGATCATTGTTGGCGCTTCGTTAAAGCCGTTTTGGAGTCTCTTGGATCATATTTTGGGTATTTTGGGGGTCTCCTTGGGACCTCTTGGGAGCCTCTTGGGGCCTCCTGGCGCCCTCTCGGGGCGAAAAAGCGAGTTTTCGGTTTGTGGACTTCTCTCTTGGGAACGTCTTTGGGCCCTTTTGGGTCGTCTGGGGCGCCTCTCAGACCGTCTTTGGGCCCTCTTCGGCCGTCTCGGGGCCGTCTTGGGGGCCTCTAGGGCCGTCATGGGGGCTTCTAGGGCCGTCTTGGGGTGATCTTGGTAACTTGTTGGTCCGCCTCTGAGCGTCGGATAGCCGAAAAGGCGAAAAGGCCACATATCGTTCAAACACGTTTGGAAACTTGTTGATTTTTGTTTCGTGGGGCCCTCTTGGGAGGCTTTTTGGACGACTCTTGACCGTCTTGGGAGCATCTTGGGCCGTCTTGGGGCCATCGTGGGGCATCTTGGGGCCATCTTTGGCCGTCTTGGCTTCCTGAGGCTCTCTTCGGAGCCTCTTCGGGCAATCTTGGAGGCCTCTCGGGCTGTTCTGGTCGCGCGGTGGCGTCACCATGAGAACCTTGGGGTGGCCCAGAGCAACCAGGATTTGAGGTTCACCCCCCACCCGTTGGCTGTTTGGTGGCGCGGCGGGGCCCCCTAGCAGACAATAAACAAGAGGCAGGAAACAGGACTGGAGAGACATAAGGCCAAACAACAAATGACAACACATAACACATGGCAGCAGACCGCACACATCTTCGCAGCCTTGCGCTCCCAGAGGGGGCCGGCGGTTTTTCAGGCCGCGTCATGGTCGCAAAGAGAAAACGATTTCGAGTACAGCTGCAGCAATTCAGGCCGTAACTGACATCTCGCGAAATATTGCCGATCTTGTAATCGGAATCAGGGAAAGGATGGCCAGACCAAACACGAATGGGCCCAGTTTCGCAAGGGCCTGCCGAGCAGCCCCTACGTGGAGAACATCAGCATGGAGAGGAGGACGAATACCCAACATAAAAACCATACCACTAAGTGGCACACGCGCGACTCGTACTTCGTCGACGATGCTCACAATCCGCCGTGGTGCCCCACTAGGGCTCCCGCTCAGCCGCCGCAGACCGACCAGCGCCTAGTATCGAACGGACCAGTTCAACCCGAACCACACCGAGTGGAAAGAACACGACGCCAATTTTGGCGGGTGGTCGGCTGCATATCGGATTGGATAAGCGCTAATGGCCTCTTGCCCATCCCGCCACCGTGCCTTGGTTGTTGGTCTGAACCTCTTAGATGGTCGTTGGAGTCTCGGGGCTCTCGCTCCAGGAGGCAGTTTGGGGCCTCTGGGGGGCTGTTTGGGGTCTCTTTTGGGCCTCTGGGGAGCCTCTTGCCCAGTGGGGGCCTCTTGAGGCCTCTTCGGGCTTCTCGGGGACCTCTTGGGGCCTCCTGGGCGCCTCGTGGGGCGCAAGGCTCGGAATTTCGGTTCGCGTTCCCCCGATTGGGCCTCTCTTGGAGCCATCTTGGGACCCTTATGGGCCGTCTTGGGCGCCTCTTGAGCCGTCTTGGGGCCCTCCTGGGCCGTCTTGGGACCATCCTTGGGGCCTCTAGGGCCGTCTTGCGGCGGTCTTGGGGCCGGAGCGTCGGACCCTAGAACAGTTGAGAACCCCCAAAACATTGAATTACCTTGTGACGTACCCAACCCATTTGTATCATGGGAAACGAAGAGTTGGCCGAAACTTGCACGGACAATCAAATTGCAGGATCCGTTGTTTGATATGTAAGCTACTTGGGACAAGCTCAGCAGCCCTCGAAAGTGGCGACAGTTTCACAGATCGCAGCCCCCAGCAGCCCTCGAAACGCAGCGACGAGCGAGGTAAGAAAGTGGCGACAGTTTCACAGATCGCAGCCCCCCAGGGATGGCGAGGTCCCATTTGAATCCGCCGTGGGTACCCACTGTGCTGGGCCCCCCAGCAGGCCTCGAAAGTGGCGACAGTTTCACAGATCGCAGCCCCCCAGGGATGGCGAGGTCCCATTTGAATCCGCCGCGGGTGCACACTGTGCTGGGCCCCCCAGCAGGCCTCGAAAGTGGCGACAGTTTCACAGATCGCAGCCCCCCAGGGATGGCGAGGTCCCATTTGAATCCGCCGCGGGTGCACACTGTGCTGGGCCCCCCAGCAGGCCTCGAAAGTGGCGACAGTTTCACAGATCGCAGCCCCCCAGGGATGGCGAGGTCCCATTTGAATCCGCCGCGGGTGCACACTGTGCTGGGCCCCCCAGCAGGCCTCGAAAGTGGCGACAGTTTCACAGATCGCAGCCCCCCAGGGATGGCGAGGTCCCATTTGAATCCGCCGCGTGGCACACTGTGCTGGGCCCCCCAGCAGGCCTCGAAAGTGGCGACAGTTTCACAGATCGCAGCCCCCCAGGGATGGCGAGGTCCCATTTGAATCCGCCGCGGGTGCACACTGTGCTGGGCCCCCCAGCAGGCCTCGAAAGTGGCGACAGTTTCACAGATCGCAGCCCCCCAGGGATGGCGAGGTCCATTTGAATCCGCCGCGGGTGCACACTGTGCTGGGCCCCCCAGCAGGCCTCGAAAGTGGCGACAGTTTCACAGATCGCAGCCCCCCAGCTGGCACGCAGCGACGAGCGAGGCAAAAGGCAAGGGGGAAGAGAGGGACGGGAGGGGGTGGGAAGGAGACGCGCGAGCAGTGCTCTATTCAAAACGAGAACCCAACGCAGGAGGGTTGGGAAAAACCTTAGGAACATGCATGATTTTGACCTTTCGGGGCCCTCTTGGGAAGGCTCTCCGGTCTCTCTTGAGGTCGAAGGCTTTTTGGGCCGTCGTGGGGCCATCTTGGGCGTCTTGGATTGGTCATTTGGCGACTCGGGGCCCTCTTGGGCTGTCTTGGGGGCCTCTCGGGGCCCTCTTGGTCCGTCTGGAGGCCCTCAGAGGCCCGAAAAAGTCACGCGGGGATCTGCCGGGAACCCCAGCGGGCACGCCCGAAGCCCAAGAAGGTTTGGCAATTTGGGGGTCCAGGCTCGTGAGGATTAAATGAAGGATTGGGGACTGAGGCTTAAGGGATCAGGTAAAGGACCTAAGGACACGCCCACTCCATGCCCAGCGGAGATTGAAATTACGAGTTCCGTCCACTTGTTGTGTACATTCGCTCAGAGTCTAATTGTGGCAATCATATACAAACGAGGATTAACCACCACGACCAGTTGGAGGAGCGGACCATCGCGGCAAACATGTAGTTTAAGATCGTTGCACAGAGACAGTTGTCCGACACATGTCTTGAACATTTCGGCCCGTACTTCTTATTGTATGTTGCTTGGCATGGTCTGGCAAACTGATTTCTGCTAGGCGTGTCGCTACGGCCATGGCGGCGAGTTTTGCAGAAAAAGCAGGGTAGCAGGCAAAGGGTACGCGGGACAGGTCTCACCGTAAAGCGAGAGGGCCGTTCTCGCGCGGGGGGGGGCGTCTCTTTCCGCAAGCGAGTGCCATCGTGATCTCCCATGCTCATCTTTAATGCCGTCGCTGCTTCAGTTCAAGTGCTGCGCAAGTAATGCAGACTTTAAGGCGCACCGCGGCGGCGTCTAAGTTGAATCCCAATCATTCTATCGCAACGACGCAATGATTGCATTGCTGTCATCCTTGGTTATGCACCTTCGTCGTCTCAGCTAGTACAGGGACCATCGGAATTTCAGGTAACTGTCAAAACTAAGGGAGAGGACGGGGACGAGGGGGAGCAGGGGGAGTTTGGGAAGACAACGGCAACGACAAAGACGACACAGACGGGGAAGCAGAGTCTGATGTTGATGATGATGATGTTGATGATGATGATGATGATGATGATGACGACGACGATGATGATGACGCTGATGATGGCCACGACGACGACGATGACGATGACGATGACGACCACGACAATGACGAGGATGCTGATGATGATTGTGGTGGAGGTGGGGATGGTGATACTGAGCTTGATGATGAGGATGATCAGGATGATCAGGATGATGATGATGCTGATGATGATGATAATGCTGATGATGAGGATGAGGATGAGGATGAGGAGGACAAGGATGAGGATGAGGATGCGTATGGCGATGATGATGGTGATGATGATGGTGGTGCTGATAATGTTAATAATACTTATGGTGATGGTGATGGTGACGATGATGTTGAGGAAGGTGAACATGATGATGATGCTTGTACTGATACTGCTGCTGATGTTAATGATGATGATGATGCTGATGACGATGATGATGCTGATGATGACGAAGCTGTTGCTGCTGTCGCTGCTTCTGACGACGACGATGATGAGGATGCGGATGGGGATGATGATGATGATGCTGATGATGATGATGATGCTGATGATGATGATGACGGTCACGGTGATGATGATGATGCTGCTGTTGATGCCGGTGATGATGATGCTAATGAAGATGATGATGATGCTGATGATGATGATGATGATGATGACGATGATGATGATGATGATGATGATGCTGATGATGATGATGTTGATGATGTTGATGACGATACTGATGATGATGATGTTGGTGATGGTGGTGATGCTGATGATGAGGATGAGGATGAGGATGAGGATGATGAGGATGATGAGGATGATGATGCTGATTCGGATGATGATGCTGTTGATGATGATGACGATGATGACGATGATGGTGATGGCGATGGCGATGACGTTGCTGACGATGGTGGTGGTGTTGTGGTGGTGCTGCTGAGAACGATCCTGATTATGGTGATTGTGATGGTGGTGATCATGCTAGTGGTGATATAGGTTGTGATGAGGATGGTGATGATGATGATGATGATGATGATGATGATGATGATGATGATGATGATGATGACGATGATGGTGATGGCGATGGCGATGACGATGACGGGCAATGAAGATGACGGGCGATGACGATGAGGAGGAGGAGAAGGAGGTGGAGGAGGAGAAGGGCCAGGAGGAGGAGCAGGAGGACCAGGAGGAGGAGGAGGAGGAGGAGGAGGGGAGTGAAGGGGAGGAGGATGCGCGGAGGATGTCATCCCTCTCTCTCCGAGCCGCCGTGCTTCCTCGGTGCCCCTCCCTTCCCCCTCCACGTGATAACGCCCAGAGGACGCCCGCAGGGTCTACTCGGCCACGCGCGGCGGGGGGCCCTCGACCTCCAAGCTGCAGCAGTTCGTGCACAGCCTGCAGGACGCACCGCTGCCGCCTCTCGAAGAGCATGAAACGTCACAACCATGAACTCCTCTTCCTCCTCTTAGCTCCTGCCTCATCCTCCTCTCTTCTGCTCTCTTGTCCTCTCTCTTAATCCTCGCTTCCTCCCTCCGCCTCTCTCCTCCTCTTCACTATCCTCTCCTCATCTTCACTAATCTGCTCCATCGCTTCTATCTCTCCTCCTCCTCCTCCTCCTCCTCCTCCTCCTCCTCCTCCTCCTCGGCAAGAACAAAGCGACAAAGACAAACATCACTTGAAGGAAGTCTGAGCGACCTTCGACAGTTTATGTGCTGCGCAGTTTGTCATTATTGAATCGCTTCGCTCATTCCGCCGGCCCGTATCGTGCCATCGCGGGGTCTTGGGGGGTTTTGGGGGCCTTTGGAAGCTTCGTGGGAGCTTCTTGGGAACTTTGGGAGGCCTCGTGGATGGCTCTGGGTGGGCCCTCTTGGTGGTCTTTTGGGGGGGTCTGCCTGGCCTCTTGGGGGCCTCCTGGGAGCTTCCTGGGGGTCTCTTGGGGGCCTCTTGGGGCTTTCTTGCGGCCTGTTGGGGGCCTCTTGGGGCTCTCTTGGGGGCTTCGTGGGGCTACTTGGGGGCTTGTAGGGGCATTTCGGGGGCGTGTTTGGGCGGGAGGCTCAAAATTTCCGTTCAGGTTGCCCCTGTGGACCTCAATCATGGGGCCGTCTTGGGGCCTCTTGGACCGTCTTGAGGGTTTCTTGACTTTAAACGGAGAAGGTTAAAGGCGAGATATAAATCGAGCATGTACCGCTGTCGTGCCTGGCTCAAGCCGGGCCCGGCCAGATATGTGACTGTGCCTCACTGAGGCGCACTACTTGCATCCGAGATCGGAAAACATCCTTTTCCATTGACGATGCCCATCCTACTCTTTACTCCAGATCCCATGCTTCGTCTCGCTCTCTTGCTCATGCGCTATGAGCCAAAGCCTGGGATATGGGAGCGCCTAAGGCGGACTACATACCTAAGCTTACCAGCTTGTTTTCGACTTGGTAGCGGAGCTGGCTACACTCTCGTGTGGCTGGCTCTCGCTCTGATTCCTGTAATCCACGGCACAACTTGGTGGACTACTACTACGGTGGAATACCATGTTGCGCCGGCTCTGCGAGGAGCGGAGCCAGTCCGCGATCGAGCTAGCGGGGCAACCCGCGAACTCGAGACGCTCTCTCCTACTTCACTGCGCTACTTCACTCCCGACTTCCACCAGATGCCAATCGGCAACTCGATCGAGAACGTGGTCACCCTGCGGGGCTACCCGCAGCGGGGCCACCTGCATCCCGTGCCGGTCAGGCGCCTCACGGCTACCACGCCAGAGCCTGACAAACCACAGCCCAAACCAATCACCGAAGCCGAAATGCACATGCATTGGATCAAGATAACTATCTTCGGCATTCTGTGGGTAATAATGGGATGTGCTGTGGGATACATGCGGCAGGGGATGGACGACACGCGTACTACTGGCCCTTCATGGGACCCTGCCGGTACTACGCCTTTTCGCGAATACGTTCGCGAAGTACATGCATGGTTAAACGTAACGAGCGGCAATATGACACCACCACAACAAGCTGCAGCACTACAACGAGGCCTTCAAGGTCTGGCTCGTCGTATCGCCATGCAGGTCCCCTCCCAGATCATCAATTATGGTGTAACTGTCAATGGACAGCCAACGGATGCAGTAACCTACATACTGTACTTACTGAGCACCAAATTTGAAAATCTGGAAGATGAGCGCCAGCTCAACTCTGGCACGGCCCTTATCGACTTCCGCGTCGAAAGGGGCGAGCGAATCGACTCAGTATTAGCTCGATTCGAGATGGCCCGTGACGAGGCTAACTCTGTTGGCTTTGTCATCCCCAACTTTCAGATCCTAACGCTGATTCTCTTCAGAGCGTTAGGCGTTGGCGCGTCACGAGCCCAACACCTGCTTGAGCCCTTCAATCATCAGATGCCCCGAACACAAGCAGACTATGACAGGCTGTTGACCAGGATGAGGAACTACGGACATGTTGCCGAGCGCTCTCCTGGTAACATAGCGGGTATCTTCACAGGGCACCACTCACATGCAGGTGTTTACGCCACGACTGCGGGGTCACCCGCTGGTCCTGGCGAGCCAAATCCCTGGGCTGACCCAGCCGATATGCCCAACGAGGCCACTGCCCTTCTAGGGCAGACCGGCCAGGCATCGGCAGAGGCAGCTGAGGCGAACGCCTGGTCGAACTACTCGCCAGGCGCCGCCTACACTGCAAGCCCGCCCTCGGGCACAACCCTCTGGGGCCAAGCGGAGTCATCCGCTCAATGGTCTCAGCCACCCTCACCGTTTGAATCTGGCACTGACACAGATACTTCATCTGACGATGAGCACAATGGAATAGTCTCTGCTGGTAATGACTATCCAGCGGACGACACTCACCTTTCTGAACAGCAAAGGGCGGAAGCCGCCTTTATGGCTTATCGCAAATCAAAACGCCGTTGGAGGCGCTTTATGAAGAAACCAGTCAGAAAGGTGAGACGTGCAGTACGCCGACATTTCAAACAATTTGGAAAGGGTCGTGGTAAAGGGGGTCGCAGACGCCGTATGCATGGTAGGGGTATTACTGCTTTCCTCACGTCCTTAACTGATATGGCTTTTGAAGAAGTTCTTATCGGAGGCAAAGGTCGGGGTCACAGGCGGACCTCCGGTAAGGGAAAGGGGCGGAGGGGCAACCCTAGGGACGCTTCTGGTAATACTATGAAGTGTCATACATGCGGTAGCACAGAGCATTTGCGCGATCAATGCCCGAAGGGGAAAGGAAAGGGATCCGTACACTTGGCTCAAAACTCTTTTATGGATGACATAGATTACATTGACTACGAGTTTTACGTCAATCCAGAAGCGGCTCCCGCTGCGGGCTCCTCCACGTATTACGTGATGGCCCGCTATGCTGAAGCAACTGTGGCCCTGGAAGACTACGCAGTGACCCTCTTCGACGAGTTCCACGGCTGGGACGAGGTCGATGAGATTGCGTACAATGCTTGGTTCGGTCTTCCAGCGGGGCCACCCGCCGGTGACGAGGTCTCCGAAGCCGAGACTGTCCCGGCAACAGAGGAAGAACTCACCGCCGCGCTGGCCCCACAAGTGATTGGCATGCCGTTGCTGCCAAATCCGTCGTGGGCTGGCTCGGAGATGGGAGACGCCGATGACGAAATGCGGGGCCATCCCGCGGATTCCGACTCCGAAGAATCCGAAGAAGATTATAACGACATGCTCCAGGAGCAGGTTTCAGAAGCAATCCGACTCTTGAGTGCGCCAGCACAGCAGCAGATGACGATGAACGAACTGCTGTCGCACCCAGGAGTTGCCCGTCTACGTCCATACTTGGATTCGAACATGTCAGCATCTCAGATGCTTAAAGCACTCCAAGCTCTAGCGGGGTCACCCGCCGAGGAGATGCTAGACACAACAGCGGGGCCACCCGCTTGGTCTATGGATGTATTCATGCAAGGTTGCGATCAAATGAATATTAACGACCTCTCGATGGAGCAGTTAAATGACATCGGATACTTCAGGAGCCCGTATCAAAACGTGTTCATGGCCCAGGACAGCTCAGAGGACTCGGATGAAATGCGGTACGCCAAGAGGGACAGGCGACCGTCGCCTCCCCGAGACTCCGAGCAGGACGATCAAAGGCCAGTGACACATGGTAGTGCGTCGGCGGGGCCAGCCCGCGGAAGGAGCCGCTCTGCTCCTAGACGCCCTACGCACGACGAATCGGGCTACCCATATAGCACTGAGCACTCCGTTGGAGTATCTGCTCAGCAGGTGCCGGATTGGTACATTAAATGGTACCCCGGCTACTCTATGGAGACTCTTCGGCATTGGTATTCTAAGGAATACTGCACCAAAAGGGACGAGACTGGCGCAATAATCCGTACCAAGGGCGGCAAAACCAAGACGCCAGAGGCCTGGGACAAAAGGGCGAAGAAGCAGGAGATCATCACTGACCGCAAAACGTACAGAAAACAGGTGTGTCAGTGTGAGCCCTTCAAAGGCCACATGCGCAGGTGTCCGATGGACCGCCCCTCCAGGAGCCCTCACCATGGAGAAACCCCGTGGAATTGGTCTCATGGAGACGACGCGGGTAACGTCCATGATCCGAACAAAGAGGTTCCTGGAGGAGGAAAGCGCATCACAGAGGCCGATCGCGTCCCTATGACCGAAGAAGTGGCCAACACCGTCAAGGAAAATTGGGCAAAGCTTCCCAATGACCACCGCCTCAAGGAATGGAACCGCCGATTCCATAAGGAAGCGGGGTCACCCGCAGAATCCAGTAAGGAAGCGGGGTCACCCGCAGAATCCAGTAAGGAAGCGGGGTCACCCGCAGAATCCCAGCAAGGAAGCGGGGTCACCCGCAGAAGCAGCACCAGCCGCTGGATCTGCGGACGAGTGGATAGACGTTGCCTCTGCTGCCGGGTCCGCCGCCGGCACTGACCGCACCGAGCTAAATGAAGAGTGGGCGGCGGAAGACGGTTCAGAGAATCCATTCCCTGACGGAAGCGCCTGCTGGTACTGCAGTTCTTCGGCGCAGAAGTGGCTCATCACGAGGGTACTATACCGCCATGAGAATGGCAAATACAAGCTGGCCATAAAGGGTGTTGCCGACATCGACCAGATGAGGCAGGTTACCCATGATCATGGCCAGCCAGAAGGCCCTCCGAGAGACCCTCCTGGTCCACGACCAGGCAAGAGCAGCAGACCACCTCCAAGACCTAGAGCCGACTCCTCGTCGTCACCGACTCCGGCGAAAAGGCCCTCGTCCAAGAGCCCCGAAGACACGCAGGGGCGGGCGAAGGTCAGGGCGGTCGCCAAGACGGACGACCCTGAGCCGGCAGATCCTCCTGGTCCATCGGTGACAGAGAGGAAGAAGGTCTTTGCTGGACCATCGACCCCGATGCCTCCAGCGACCCAAGGCGATGTCAAGGATGAAGTT